GCACCTCCAGCACTGCAATCGTTTGTTGAACCATCTCAATCGGTATTCCATCAGTTCCTGGAGCCCTGTTTTTCGTTATTCAGTGCAGCTTCAGTGCAGCTTCAGTGCAGCTTGGACTTCTTCATTACCATCTGTTCTGGATCATATGCTACCTCCTGAAATTGTTGAACATTGACCAATTTTTTCTGGAACATTACTCTGTGTATTCCTTCCATCTTCTTTTGATGCTTCCTGTGTTATTCAATTTTTTGCCCATAGAATTCTTCAACATTGCAACTCGAGGTTTGAATTTTTTCTTCATTTCTTTCCGCTTGGGAAATGCTGAGCGTGTTCTTCCCTTTTGGTTTTCTAACTCCAGGTCTTTGCACATTTCACTATAATACTTAACTCTGTCTTCTCGAGCTGCCCTTTGAAATCTTCTGTTCAGCTCTTTTACTTCATTTCTTCCTTTCGCCTTAGCTAGTCTATGTTCAAGGGCAAGTTTCAGAGCCTCTTCTGACATCCATTTTGGTTTTTTCTTTCTTTCCTGTCTTTTTAATGACCTCTTGCTTTTTTCATGCATGATGTCCTTGATGTCATCCCACAACTCCTCTCGTCTTTGGTCATTAATGTTCAATGCGTCAAACCTGTTCTTGAGATGGTCTCTAAATTCAGGAGGGATACACTCAAGGTCGAATTTTGTCTCTCGTGGAGTGATTCTAATTTTCTTCAGCTTTAACTTGAACTTGCGTATGAGCAATTGATGGTCTGTTCTGCAGCCAGCCCCTGGCCTTGTTCTAACTGATGATATTGAGCTTTTCCATTGTCTCTTTCCACAGATGCAGTTGATTTGATTCCTGCGTATTCTATCTGATGAGGTCCATGTGTATAGTTGCTGTTTATGTTGTTAAGGAAAGGTATTTGCAATGTAGTTGGTCTTGCAAAGTTCTGTTGTGTGATTTCGGTGTCGTTTCTATCACCAAGACCATATTTTCCAACTACCGATTCTTCTTCTTCGTTTCCAACTTTCACATTCCAATCACCAGTAATTATCAATGCACCTTGATTGCATGTTTGATCAATTTCAGACTGGTAAAAATCTTCAGACTGGTAAAAGTCTTCAATTTCCTCATCTTTGGCCTTAGTAGTTGGTGCATAAATTTGAATAATAGTCGTATTAACTGGTCTTCCTTGTAGGCGTATGGATATTATCCTATCACTGACAGCACTGTACCTCAGGATAGATCTTGAAATGTTCTTTTTGATGATGAATATGACACCATTCCACTTCAATTTGTCATTCCTGGTATAGTAGAGCATATGATTGTCTGATTCAAAATGGCCAATACCAGTCCATTTCAGCTCACTAATGCCTAGGATATTGCTCTTTATGTGGTCCATTTCATTTTTGGCGACTTCCAATTTCCCTCGAGTCACACTTCGCACATTCCGTGTTCTGATTATTAATGGATATGTGCAGCTGTTTCTTCTCATTTTACTTCATGCCAAATCAGCAAATGAAGGTCCTGAAAGCTTTACTCCATCCATGTCATTTAGATCGACTCTACTTTGAGGAGGCAGCTCTTTCCCAGTCGTATTTTAAGTGCCTTCCAACCTGAGGGAATCATCTTTGGGGGCTATACCAAACAATGTTCTGCTGCTATTAATAAAGTTTTCACAGGCCAATTTTTTCAGAAGTAGACTGCCAGGTCCTCCTTCCATTTCTTTAATAGGGAGGAGTAAACAAGACTAGAAAGAACTGGGTGTGGGGAAATAGGATGAAAGTGTGGTTTGGTCAGATAGTAGATCAGAGAATGTTTTATCTTGAGGTCAGCCTATTCTTTGGAGGGGCAGGCAAGGAAGGTGGGTCAAAGTTTAGGGGCTTGGAAGAAGAGAAACGTAGCCAAAGTTTGGTTAGCAAGAATTTTTTTCCCATTGGTCAGTGGAAACAAGCATTTCAGCAAATCATTTAAGAGGCAAAGAATGGGAATTTGAAGGGCCTGTGTTGGCCTTGTCATAGGTAAAAGGGTGGGCATCCTGTGATAAGACTCCTCCCCCATCAGACCCAAGTAAGTCCATACGAGGAAGGATATTTCTTTGCAGTAAGCCGATTCTGGAACACAAAAGTGTGGAGGAATTTCTTAGCCATCACTGTTTTCTATGGGGCACAGGGCTCAGGTAAAAATCAACATTGTCAATATGCAGGGTTTAATGGGCTATTTCCTTTTTAAAAAATGGAATCATATTAAACGTGCTTCTCTGCGTATTACTTTTTTCACTCAACAATTCCCAAAATCAAACCCACTGCTGTCAAGTTGATTCCAACTCATAGCTACTCTATAGAAGAGAGTAGAATTGCCCCATAGGGTTTCCAAGGCTGTAAATCTTTACGGAAGCTGACTGCCACATCTTTCTCCATTGGAAGGGCTTGTGGATTTGAGTTGCCAACCTTTTGGTTAGTAGCCGAGTGCTTTAGCCACTGTACCACCAGGGTTCCTTTACTCAACAATACCTGGAGAAGATCCCTCCAAGTCATTTTATAGCAGCCTTCCATTCATTCTCTTTTTAATGGCCTCATAATATTTCAGGATGTGGTTGTGCCATAATATTCAATCAGTCCTCTGTGGGTGACCATGCACTTAGTTTTCAGACCCTGTCTTAGTTATCTAGAGCTGCTATAACAGAAATATCACAAGTAGGTGGCTTTAACAAACAAATTTATTCACTCACAGTCTAGAAGGCTAGAAATTCGAATTCAGGGTGCTAGCTCCAGGGAAAGGCTTTCTCTGTTGGTTCTAGGAGAAGGTCTTTGTCATTGATCTTCGCCTGGTCTAGGAGCTTCTCAGCACAGGGACCCTGGGTCTAAAGGACATACTCTGATCCTGGTGCTTCTTTCTTATTGGTATGAGATCCCTATTTTTCTGCTCGCTTCTCTCTCCTTTTATCTCTTGTAAGACAAAAGGGGATGCAGGCTATACCCCCAGGGAACTCTCCTTACGTCAGATCAGGCCTGTGACTTCAGGAAGGGTGTTGCATCCAACCCTAATAACCTAGTCTTGCCTCATTAACCACAGGTAGAGATTAGAATTTACAGCACATAGGAAATTTACATCAGATCACAAAATAGAGGACAACCACACGATACTGAGAATCATGGCCTAGCCAAGTTGACACATATTTTTTGGGACACAATTGAGTCCATGACAGGCCCCTTCTCCACATTTAACTGTTAAAAAAAAATTAAAACCCAAATAAATTAAAGTATATAGGTTTTATTTGAGCTGTTATTCTGTTTGCATATAGAGGATGACCATTTTGTTTCTTAAAAAACTAATGGCTCCGTGCATGCTAGTTACAATGAGGCTTTTAAGGAATAGAGGAAAACGGTGAAAATTAACCATTGGCTAGTCTCAACATGATTGGTTGAAATCATGCCCCCTTTCTGAGATCAGGAGCCCTGGTGGTGCAGTGGGTAAGAGCTCAGCTGCTGACCAAAGGGTTAGCACTTGAAATCTACCGGTTGTTCCTTGGAAACCATATGTGGCAGTTCCACTCTGTCCTATAGGTCGCTATGACTCACAAGGGTCTGGAAAGCAACAGGTTTGGTTGTTTTTTTTTTTTCTGAGATCAGCTGATACCATGTTACTAGGTTGGTTTTGGTCGCCCCCATTCTTTTGAAATTGCCTAAAGTTAAATTCATTGCACAAGATAAACTTTAAAAGCTTCAGGGTTATCACAGTTGTCTTATCACAGAGGGAGTTTGCAATTTTAAGATTACCTGTCACCACATTATTTCTATCTGTTCTTGGATGCATTTCACCTTGGTCAGTGATCTTTGTGAATGTTCCTATACACTCTGAGGAATCTGTCAATTCCTGTTCCTCAGCTTCTCTCTTTTAACATTATTTAAACTTAAAAAAAATCATTTCATTTAAACTTTGGGGCTCCTATAGTTTCTAAACTTGGGGCTGCTGAAACTGCATTTTTCAAAACCTCTCTTCTTAGAATTTTTTCACATAACTCAATTTACATTTGTCTATTTTGCTCTCTCGCGCTCCAGGGAAGGAGGTGGCCAAGCAAAAAAAAAAAAAAAAAAAAACAGAAAGGTCCCAACACTTTTTCTTTTGCGTTCCTCATTTTCTCCTTTCTGGAGGCAAGGGGTTAAGGCGACGCACCGACTTCCTAAGTCAGTGAAAATCAAAAACTTTACGACCCCAATTCTTAGTCCCTCCTTGGTTCGCGGAAGCATCGAAAGGCGTGGCCCAGCATCTAGCACTTTCGGGCTGAGCTCCAGCGGAGTTAGCACCGTCCGTCTCTTACTCTGGCGCCGCCGAGACAACTGTTTTCGAGTACTGAAAGGCAAACCAAATACATCCAAGAGGAAGGACACGCACCTTCCTCCAGCTGCAAAGAGATGTTTCCAGGATCCGTTTAGGATCTTAGCCATGTTTTGCGAGGGAAAAGAAACAGAAGTAAAGCGTCGTCAGTTTTTTTTCTTTTTTTTTTTTCTTTTAGATGAGATCTTTCACAAATCTGAGGGAGGAAGACTGGAAGATAAGGGAAGGTGTCGCGGGTCCTTTCTAGTTAGCAAAGTTCAAACAGTTCCTGAATTACTGCTTCTTAGGTTAGGACACCCTGGGAGTAAATCCTGTTAACTTCCTATCAGCTCATTTGCTGATTTTAAATAAGGAACCATAAAAATCTGAAATGCATATTGAGTGCCACCCAATTCTGAGGCTCGACTGCCAAGGGAGAAAAAAAAAGTGCTCTTTCTCCTCCTGCCACCCCGGAGGTGCCAGTTGTAATCTGCAAATGTATTGTCTGGCCCCCTCGGGCTTGACTGTTAATGATTTGCAGCAGGAGGAGCCCGGCAGACGAACGAGTTGGACGTGAGCGAGCGAAGGAAGGCGAGCTCAGGGGCCGGAGTCGAGCCCCCGCCGGGTGTACAGGCGCCGCCTCCCGTCTTCCGGGCCCCGGCACTTCGGGGGCGTTCCGTGATCCGGAGCCGAGCAGGGGCCCCCATGGAGGCTGCATTGCCGGAGGGGCCTGGCGCCCCTCAGCCCCACGCGCAGGGAGCGGTGAGCGCGTTTGCCAGCCTCCTGCGCAGGATAAAAGGCAAACTCTTCACCTGGTGAGTGGAAGGAGCGCGCGGAGGCCCCGCGGGGCGGCGGGAACTGGCAAGCCGAGCCCAGGCGCTACGGTTGGCGAGCGCGCTCACACGTGTCTGCGGAGCACACGCCGCCGGAGCGGCGCGGCGCGGCGGCGGGAGGAGGGAGGCAAAGGTGGCTGCTGGACGGACTTTGGTGCTGGTTCAGGCGGCTAAATAGGGATGTTGCGCTTCACCTGGCTTCATGATGCGAAAGTACTGGGGGCTGGAGGTCCCACTCCTCCCTTCCTCGTTCTTAGAAATCGTGGGAATGTATTTCAGAGGATTTGGTGGGAAGTTCACCCTGTTAGCACTGTTAGGTCGATCCCCAGTGCCACCCAGGCGGGGAGGGGGCGAAGTCCCCAGGGATGCTGTGAAGGAGGGGTGGGCACCCTCGGGCTTGACAGGTGGGTGAGCGCCACTTCCTGGCTCTGGCGCCTTGAAATTCTTCTGCTGCCGAGCCCGTCAGACCGGGCTGGCTGATCCTTCACTAACAGATGAGTTTACCCAAGTGAGAAATCTGGGTTAAGTTTTATGCTGCCGCCGGGAGGGAGTTCAGGGCCTGCCTCCTTCTCGGCCTGAGCCGGCAATGCGGGGCGACGTGGCCACCTCCCGACTTGGGAGCTCGTCCTCCCTGTGCTCGGTGGGAAGTAAGGAGAAATGTGCTTAAGGGCTTGGTAGGAATCTGGGACTGGGAAAGCATTTCTCTGGTTACTGGGGAATTTGCATTCGAGAAACACAGATAACTCAGAATAAAATAATGAAAGCCAACATTTATTGGACGTTCACTCTGTGTCAGGTTCTGTGCTTAGCAGTTTATATGGATAATCTCATCAAACCCTCACTGTTTTATGAGGTAGGCACATATTATTATACCCACTTCATAGATGGAGAAACAAAGAAGGCTAAGCAGTTTGTCCAAGGCCACCTAGTATAAGGCGTGGCCCCTGCATGCCTTGGTTTAAACTGCACCATAACCACTCCTGGCCACTGGCACATCATCAGATAGGCTTTGATTTCTTTCTTTTTTTTTCCCCAGACTGAAAAGTGAATGCGCTTTCAAGACTGTGAAAGCAATTCCTGAAAAGCCATACCATTTTCAAAACTAAATCAATAAAATTATATGCATTTTCATCATATAAATAAGTATGGTTTTAAATAGATTCATATGTTGATGGGGAAAGTTGGCCAAAAATTGCCTTGTACCATCCAGTTGTGTATGTCCTGCTAAATTTAACTGCAGGTTCTCAGATGGGAGGCAGTGTAGTGTAATAGCTAAGGGCACAGATTCTGGACTCATATCCTGGCTGTGCCACTTATCATCTGGGTGGTTTTGGGCAAGTCACTTAACGTCTCTGTGCCGCGGTGTTCTTATTTGTAAAATGGAGGTATTAACTGTACCTACCCTGTAGGGTTGTTGTGAGGAGTAAGTGAGTGAAAACACAAGAATGGGCAGATGGAGCCTGGCTCATGGTAGTGTTCTGTACTGGTTAGTTGTCACCATTAGTTCCATTCCTGGGTGACGGGAAGATGTCATGGTTGCTCTGGGAGATGCAAGGGACCCTGAGGACAGGGCAGACAAAAGGGACATATGTCAGTTTAGCAAGATGTAGCAAGGATTAGCAATGATTTTTTTTCTTCTTCTAATGTTCTAAAATTTGCAAAGTCCTGGTTTGTTTTAGTCAGGAGTGTCTGATAGCCTCCTAAATATGAGATTTCTTCTGCCTCCTAAATATGAAATTTCTTCTGCCTCTGAACATAGTTTTTTGTGTACCTCCCTTATCACTTTTTAAAAAGTCTCAAGGTGGCACAAACAGTTAAGAACTTGACTACTAATTGAAAGGTTGGTGGTTTGAACCCACTCAGGTGCCTTGGAAGAAAAGCCTGGCAATCTACTTCCAAAAACCTACAGAGGGCAGTTCTACTCTGCACACATGGGGTCGCCATGAGTGGGAATCGACTTGATGGCAACTGTTTTTTTTTGGTTTTTAAGGCTTTTTACTTTCTTCCTATGTGATAGCTATTTGTGGGCATCTTATAGCCTTGATGAACTGAGTTTCTTAACAGTAGCAATAATTTTTTTTCATTTTTGTATCTTAGCATACAAATGATTGAGCAAATGAATGAATGAATGAATGAGTGAATATGAGAAAGTTCTTGAGGCTTCCTTTCCATTTTGCCACACTCCCTGTACTCTTCCCTTTACTGATCTTTGTCTGAGGATTCTAGCCGTTTTGGTTGGTTGGGTCCTTTTGTTCATTAAACTTTTCAATCCCACTTCTGGCAATTGTCCAGGCTCTTGGATTCTGGTTTGCAATTTCTTCCCATCTGACCCAGCAACAGGAAAAGCGCAGTTTACCAGATACCCAGTATTCCTTGTACTTGATATTTTAAACTCTCAGTAATAAAACTCATTTCCTAAGTTTGAGTTTAGGTCTCTGAATCCCCAGTCTTGGCCAGAGAACCATGGGGTATGGAGGGAAGTTAACGAATGGATGTTTTCACCATATGGACAGGGATGTAGAAGGATAGTTTGTAACCACACGGCTCTTTTCTTTTTTTACCAAAAAGGGGCAAGATTATCTTTTTTGGCAAGTGGGTACTAAATACGGGGTAGAAGTTTGGGGCCTAGAGCTGGTTCTGTTTCCATTATGAGAGGGACAAAGGTTATTCTAGGTAACCTTAACTTTTGATATACCTGCCTTTCTCCTTTAGGGTGCAGACAGCTTTTCTCTATAACTGGGAATAGTAAATCACTCATACAGTACAATAATACAATACAATATTGAGTACTTACTATGTGCCAAGTATTTATGATAATGAGTACCATCTGCTCGTAATTTTGACTCTTGCTGTTTATTGCTATCAACTCAAATAACAAATACTGTAATAGGAGGTCATGGGTTTCCAGGAGTGCCTGAGGATATTTAATTGTGTATCAGCAAGCAGTTTACAGATCCCTGATGGCACAGTGGTTCTAACCAAAAAGTTGGCCGTTCGAATCCACCAGCCACTCCTTGGAAACCCTAGAGGGCAGTTCTGCTCTGTCCTGTAGGGTCGCTGTCAGTCGGAATCGACTCGATGGCAACAAGTTTTTTTTTTTTAAAGCAGTTTACATTCTAACAGATACATTCTAATTTAAATTCATATACGAAACATACATGCTTCTTATAACAACCATGAAGTTTATACTTCTAGTATAAAGCTTTGATTATTATTTCATATATTTATATCTTTTTCCCCATTGAATAAATGGTAAGCTTTTTTTTTTTTTAATTGTGCTTTAGGTGAAAGTTTACAGTTCAAGTTAGTTTCTCATATAAAAATTTATACACATGTTGTTATGTGACCCTAGTTGCTCTCCCTGTAATGTGACAGCACATGCCTCCTTTCCACCCTGGATTTCCCGTGACCATTCAACCAGCTCCTGTCCGTTTTTGCCTTCTCATCTCTCCTCCAGACAGAAGCTACTCATTTAGTCTTATGTATCGACTTGAGTTAAGAAGCACGCTCTTCATGAGTATCATTTTATGTCTGTTGTACGGTGAAAACATCACAAAGTTTAGTAAAGCAAAAAGAAAGTTTTATTCGGCATATATTCAAAAAGGCAAAAGGGGGAAACGGACAAGCATGCTGCCACAGCCATGTCTGCCCGAGTCCAAGGAAATACCACAGAACAGACAAAAGTGGGAAAACGGACAAGCATGCTGCTAGAGCCATGTCTGTCCAAGTCCAAAGAATATTACAGAATAGGCAAGAATGGGAAAACAGACAATCATACTGCCACAGCCATCAGTATGTATTAACATTACAAATAATCAAAACCATTGAAAGCTTCACCTTTTCACAGATTGGCTAGAAATTGTGATCCTAAGTTTTGAATTGTCTTTCTTAACAATCATTGGTACAAGTTTCAGTAATGACAGTCAGGAGGGTCCTCATTGGTCCAACAAATTTTCTACTCACTAAATGCTAATAGAAAAAAGATAAGAGTGGAAAGTCTTTTGTGTTCTGTTTGAATGGTTTATGTGTAAGGGTCCCTAAAAGATATTTTCCAAGATTATCTTAGCTATTGTCTTTATACCTCAGTTCCCAGTTGACATGTCCTTGTGAGGCCTTGTGAGCCCAGCTTCAGCTGGGTCACATTCTCTGTGCTCAAGGACAGGGAATGATGATTCCAATATTATTTCCTAAATCATGTTGTATAGTCCGGTCTAATCTTTGTCTGGGCTAACAGAGAGTCCAGGGGACATGTCTTCCGGGGTCTCTCCAGTCTCAGTTGGACCATTAAATCTGGTCTTTTTACTAGAATTTGAGTTTTGCACCTCACTCTTCTCCTGCTCCATCAGGGACTCTGTTGTATTCCCTTTCAGGGCTATCATTGGTGGTAGCTGGGCATCATCTAGTTCTTCTGGTCTCAGGCTGATGGAGTCTTTGGTTTATGTGGCCCTTTCTGTCTCTTGGGCCAATATTTTCCTTGTGTCTTTAGTGTTCTTCATTCTCCTTTGCTCCAGGTGGGTTGGGACCAATTGATGCATCTTAGATGGCTGCTCCTAGCTTTTAAGATCCCAGGCAAATGGTAAGCTTTTTGAGGACATAGATTTTATCATATTTTTTTGGTAGCACAGTGCTGGACATGTGTTCATTATTTCATTGACCAAACCTTGAGCATCTGTAATGTTCTAGGTTCTAGACTAGTTTCTGGTGCTATAAAGATGAATAGGATTAAATTCTTTATCTCAAGAATGCTCATAATCAAATTATGCTAAGAAGTTATGACAAGTATTGTAGGAGTGAGTACAAAGTACAGTGATGGTATAAAGGAGGGCAGGGATCAAGTGTCTTGGGGTGAAGTAGGGTTGGAGAGCCTGAGAGAGAAGGTGCTTGAGGTCTTGATGCAAGAATAAGAATTTTCCTTTTAAACTAGGCAAGAAAGGGCTCTCCAGGCTTGGAGGTTGTTATGGATTGAATTGTGTGTCCCCCAA